TAGATATGGCAGATCAGGCATTATGTGCGTTGGAAATCATTTTAGGGTTCCGTATTCAAAGGGTAAAAATGTGACTCTATTACTAAGGTTCCCGTGTCCGTCTGTCTGTCTGAAACCAGACAGCTTCATGAACTGAATAAATATTTAAGGGGAGCTCCCATACAACAAACGAGATTTCTTGCCGTTTTTTATTCTATATTAATAACGACAACAGGTAGGTAAACGTTTGAAATTTTAACAAAATATTAAGTTATACACTTTGAATTAAAAAAATAAAGTAAACATTTGAAGGGAGCTCTTCGGGCGCGCAACTGACATGCACTTGACTGGTATTTTTGCGAGGAAAGTCCTCATTCATGTCACGGGCGCAGTCGGTAGGCGACTTTAATGTGTGCACTTGATGGCACCATCAATGGGCGTAAGTCGCTCATCAAGTGAAACCGTTGATAAGTCGAATTGATCGTCACCGGGACCTATAACGATTTTAGTTGAGAATGCAGTTTTATAGAGCTAAGGATTCCATAAAATGCAATGGTTAAATTTTTATTCTACGACATATATTGCCGAAGTTATGGCCAAACTACTTTTTCGGCTGGTCGCGTGATGACTGTGATGTCACAGAGCTCTACCGTTAATTAACCAAATTTCTGGTAAGCTATCCATAAAATTCGGTTATTAACGGTTAGTTATCCGACTTCGACCTATAAAAATGGTATAGTGTAAACGTAAAAAACTAAAGTATCTAAAATATTAATAATACAAACTTACGGCTCAATTACACTTGGTCGTTAGTCCGTATTCGGGTGCACGAAAGACATTACCTACTCGAATTCGGGCACTCGAATCAATATTTACACTGAAATCCGGTCTGGAAGACGGTGTCGGGTAACCAAAACGAAAACTACCCGAATTCCACCAAATGTAATGGCGCCATAACACGTACAATAATAAACTTGATTGTTACCTACTATAAACGTGCAACTCGTGGGCGTGTAAACATGTTAGTTAAAATCAGTTTCTTTAAGACATTTTTTTTCAAAATTTGATCAGTATTTACAGGCACTCAGCGCTAGTCTTCTTCAAAAATGTGTCTCATAGTTTCGTCATGTCCGTCTGTCTGTCTGTCCGTTCCAGGTTGTGCTTGGTTAGGCTCTGGAGATCTGTAATTTTGTCGAAGTACGGTATGTATATCACGCCAACAAAGGGTACAACAAAATTAGATTTTTTTTTAGGGTATGTCTCCTAACCAGCGACAACCACGCAGCTGGCGAAACAGGCGTGGTTGCGGGAGTGCAAATCTGCATTATCATGCAGATTTTGACGTGGAAACGTGTTTTGCTCTGCTTGAATTTCGTCATCAAAATTGTATTGTTACCCAGATATTTATTTTTAGTATTTAAGGTTATGGCGCCCCTTGCTACTTTACGCTTAGAGCACTGCCAGGGCTGAGTAGTCAGTCTCGTATAATTTTCTAGCAACTTTGTAGTATTTTCCAGCCCAACTTCATTCATTGGAGCGGTGGGGCATAGTCTAATAGTGTGTAAGGTTCCATGACTTCATGGAATAGGACAATCAATTTAGGCCGGAAAGGCGGGAAAGGAAGGCCCATATTCTTGCTGCCACAGATATCCATGCGATCGGACTTCATTCAACATCAGCTGGTGCGGGTTATTTTGTCCATTGTCGTATAAAAAATGATGGCGTTTATGGTTCTATCTTGGTGTATAAATTGTTATACTGTTTTTATAAAAAATCAGTGCGTCTTGCAGTAACAAAAGAAATATTGCAGCGATTGCGGCAACTTTTTAAGAGCGCGTGCGCTTTAAGCCACATACGTGGCTGCCTTCCACAGATCATAAATATCGGTCAAACAAGACGTGTGACTTCCGAGACTGCAGTCATTATTACGCTACCAGATGCTGTTTTGCTTTGCTTTTTCAGATAGGATAGGAGAATTATTATATATACATATTATTAATTAATTTTCATTATTCCTAAAAGGCACATTCTTGTCAAAATACCAAGTGCCCGCCGCCCGCACCTCTCACGGTCCCCGTTCTCGTCCTACCCCACACCCTATACCACGCAGGCGAGGTCTCAGTTAAGCGGTTTACAGGCGTCGAGACGCTGCAATTGGCCTGTCTTCGCAGAGTGCGCGCTTTCGTCATATCTGATCATAAATAATTTATTTATTTTATTCGGCTAGACAGACAGATTTATGATTGACGCAAATCTGTCGCTATTGTATCCGTACGAAAGAAAATTGCGCCATTGGGGTGTTGTTTGCTGCAGCTTTGGGTACAGAACCTGTACTATAGAGTACAGGTTCCGTACCCAAAAGGGTAAAAATGGAACCCTATTATTGTCACTCTGTCGTCTGTCTGCCCTTTGTCTGTATGTCACGGGTCTGTAGATCGTATATATAACTGAATGAGTGACAGAACTAAAATTTTGATATTTTACGTAGAATACTTGCCCTAAACCGAATATTTAGTTATAAATTCAATTTAATTATTTTTCATGGGGAGTCCCATACATGAATTTTTTTTTACCCCTGCATGAGACACGTCATTGTTTAGAGCTCATTGAATAAAATATATTTAAATATAATTTATATTATTTTTCAAGAACAAAGAAATTGGGGAACCGTCAAAGTTGTCACTTTTAGAATATTTTTGTTACGAGGTCTATCTCAAAATCAAAACTGTTATAGTTAGGAATGTAAAACTTTTGGTAAATGATGTCCCATATACTGTATTTAAACAAACAAATACTAAAAACGCCGATTCATATGTCCTTGTAAGTTGTGACGAAAACAAACAAATGATTTTTCCTTGCATGGTTTGTTGTACGGAACCCCTCATGCGTGAGTCCGACTCACACTTGTCCTTTTTTCCTCTGATACGTCCTTATTATTAGGTATCATTTTGAATTTTTCACATAGTATAAGAAACATGTTTAAAATATATGAAATATCTTCATGTTTCATATATTTTTTCAAATCTTAAAATGACAAGACATTCCTTCAATCATCAAATGAACTCACTAATTAAATATAATGTGTAATTGTATTGACAGAATCAGAATTATAAGAGACTATGTAAGATAGCTACTCATACGATGTTGTTAATGTCAAATTAAAGAATTTATCATAATTGAAATATATTTTTGGTGTTTCGTCCAATGTCACTATTTTAGACACCTGCTCTGCTATCCAGCATCTGTGATATTCTAAACTAGCGGTCGCCCTCGACTTCATCCAAGTTAACTTTAGTCTTTTGAGAAACCCACATTTTTCCGGGATTAAAAGAATCCTATGCCTTAATCCAGGTTATGAAGTATATGCGTGATAATGTAAAAAACATACAAACTCTAACATTTATAATATTAGTAGTATAGTATAATATTATTTATTATAATACTACAAAAGGATTATATTTTTAATAAATTTATAGTTCATGTGAATTATTTAAATTAAATTATTTTAATTACTGTTATTAAAGTTCTATTCTATTCCATTTTTGTAGAGGCTAGCTGTTGTCCTTAGACAATTCTGCCAATGTCAGGGTTGAGCACTACAGATGATCAGTTTTTTTTTTTGCAGTTCTATGCATCTTCATCAACTAGTTTTTCACTTCATGTCAAATATAACATAGCATGTTAGTAGATATAGAATCTGTTTTAACACTTCTAATAAACAGATTGCTGTTGACAGTAATGAAACCAAAATTAGTTGTATGATAGTTTCTAAATTTTATCAGAATATTCTTTAAAATTCAAAGAATTTTCGGGTATTTAACATTTTATACCTTATGTTCTGTAAGATTTACACACATTTTTATCAGAATGTAAACAATGAAGAATTATAAATATTAATATGACAAAACAATTATCATAATTTTATCTCAAATTTAAACTTACTAGTCTTGGCAGAATCCTCTAATTTAAGTCTTTTCTATAAATATCCCTTGAACTATTTACATATAAAATTCTAAATTAGATAAAAGGGACCTACCTACCAATTTACCTACTCAAACATTGTAAATGTTCAATTGTTTTTCTGATTGTTTTAATTAAGTAGGTGATTAACGTTTAAAAAAAATATCCTCAAAATATACAACTAGTAAGCTAACCAGGAGTCCAATATATCAGTTATATTTTTTTGGTGATCATGGTGATCATTTATGTAGGCAAGTACTTTTTTTTGGGATCATTAAAATATTTTGTCTTTAAATATAGTAAGATTTTCGTATGGTAAACAATTTGAAATTTATTTACTAAATTATCTAACGCAAAAAAATATTGTAATGAGGGTAGTTCTACAAAATGCAATTAGTTCTAATATAATATAGTCAAAATAGAACACCTTAAATAGATGGTAGGTACTGTATAGGTAGTGGGGAAGTAACTACTAATAATAATGATATCATCGATACATTGGTCATAAATATAAACATGACTCACCAGACTAGGTACTCTGTTACAGAAAGACCGTGTAGGTTATCAATATCATCTTTTAGACGTCACAGCATTTAAATTAATGCGTCACAAGTCACACACACTTTTGAAACAGCGTCATAATTATCAAATATTCTAACACAACAAAATTTAATTTTGAACAAAATAAATAAAGGCTAACTTCACAAAATGTCATATACATTCAAGAGATTTGAGCCAGAGAAAGAGAAATCAAACAAAATTTTGACGGCTTATTGAATTTCTGTAAATTACACATACACCGCCATCTAGCGTCGCTTGTACGAAATTCATACTAACATATAAGCGGCATAGATTATATCAAATACCAGTGAACTTGTAATGTGGTGCATTTTAAAAGTTCACCTATTAAATCAATGTAATAAAATAAACATTAAATCATTTTATACGTTCTTTATACTCACATCTAACAGAAACAAATAAATACCAAAAATCGATAAGAATTTCAATAAAAAAATCTTAATATTTAGATTTGACGTGTAATAATACCGCCATACGAGGTTACATATTTCGCATTGAGTAACTTTTTTGTGACAATGTCTGCATCTGTTGATTAAAATTTGAAACATAATAAGCTTCTAAACAAGGTCAACAGTTTTCATCAACTCACAATCGACGAAAATAATTAGGAATCTGTGCAGATTATGTTTGTGGTTTCAAAAAATATTCATTTTCCATCTCACAACCAAAGATACAAGTGCAAGTGTCTGCGAAAATGATTCGTACTTTGTTTTTCGCAATCACAACGTTACATGAACATGGATGACCTAAAATGTGAATACACGAAGAAAAAGGATGCTTCAGACTGTCAAAAAGAGTGTAAAGTTAAGAAATTATAATGTTTTGTGCATGGATTGTCATCAATCATGAACTGAATTGAAGTAACGCATAACGATCGGTGATTCGTTGAATCACAAAAGTGAAAATGTGATGTGTCAAACTGATTGTTTACCTCGCGGACAGGTGAGCGGTTTGTAGAAGTGGTACGCGAGGGCGGCGGGAGGCGGGCGGCATGTCGGGCCGCACGAGTCCCGTGAACGGTGGTTACGAGGCCATGAGCGGGGAGCCCGCTATGAGGCTCACTGTCCGCAAGGACCTATTTCCTGAGGTGCGCCTGCCAAAGATCACGCCTGTCGTACCTGATGCGGCCACGACACCAGAAGATGATGATGCAGTTTCTTGTGTTAAACTTGAAACTGACTTTGAGGAAAGCATTGATGAAATTGCCAAGCAAAAACTGCAGGTGGCCAATGGGGCCCTGCAGTCTTCACGGTCTCGTCATAGGAAACATAAGCAGCATTCAAGACGTGATTCAGACCAATCAACACTCAATGGTAGTCTTCCTTCAGAACGAAAACGCAGAAAAAGCAATAGGTCTCATAGTAAAATGCATTCTAAAGTGAAAGGTGGTAAAAATTTCAATATAGTGAGTAGTAGTGAGTGTCAAAATGATGCAGAAGACTGGGTTGCTGCTGAGGTAGAACAAGATAGTGAAAGTTCAGAAGATGAAGTGCTCAAGTGCAGTGTAAAGTTACCATTAATCAATTTGCCTCGTCAGACTGGCAAACCTTACAGTCATGAACTTAGTCAATTATCTTCTAAAAAAAGTAAAAAGGACTCTAAGGAGAGACGGACTTATACCGTGACGCCTTGTAGTGGTAAACCACGTTCTATGTTGGGCATATGTAGTTCACGTAGCAAAAAGAAGTCGAAAAAGTCAGAGTGTACAGCCACTTATCGAAGTCAGATAGTGGATATGAACACTATAAGAATAAAGATCAAAAGGACCAGTGTTCATGCCCCTGTAAGTATTTTACAAGATTCAGTTTCATTTCTATATATAAGTAACATTTTCAAACAAATACAAACAATGCTGATACAAATTATGCTTACTTTATTATTGATTTAGAGATAACTAAAATATTATTGAATTTCTGGAAAAGAGAACTGCAATTTCATTGAGCAACCCATAAGTCAAATTTTGAATTATATATAATGTATAATCAACTTAAAATACTAAGCAACTAATCACAAGTGAACTTAAAAATGGTATTTCTAAACAAATAGTAATTCCACTTGTATGAAAATATAAACAGCCTTTTGTATGAAACCTAACACTTCCTTGACGATTACTTTTCATCAAATACATTCATCTTTATTTCAAGGTTTTGACTTTATAAATAATTATAACTCACAATTTTTAAAAAGAAAATAAGTCAGCTGACATAAAATAATATATTAAAATTTCAATTCAAAGTGTGTGAAGGATTTCTTTTACAACTATTTTAATAACGGTGTCACTTAGGAGTATGAAAAATAGGTAACATCCTATTCTCAGACCTACTGAATATAAACACAAAATTTCATTAGAATCAGTCAAGCCATTTCAGAAGAATTTTGTTACAATCACCGTGACATAAGAATTGTATATGTTATACGAGCGGTCTCAGCGAACCTCTCTGCTGCCATAAAAAAATAGGGGTTGGTGGTAGAAGGAGGAAAATTTAGGGTTGTATGTATTTTTGTATGATGTGTCATAAAAAAAATAAAAACAAAAAAAATTGTCCAAAAAATATTTAAGGGTGTATACCCTTAATATTTAGGGGCATGAAAAATTGATGTGGACAACATCTATTTTTTCTTGACCTACTGAATATGCATATAAAATTTCAGTGTTTCAGAGTAGTTCAATTATGCACACTGTGACATGAGAATTTTATATATTAGATTGTATTTTTTTATAGGGCATTTTCCTTTGTGCCCCAAAATGTTGCTACACTGTAATACTCCAGTAGATAATAAGTTTATTACCACTGTAAGTAAATGGTGTAGGTAAAATGAATTCCTTTATTTTACTTTATATAATCATTATCATAAAAAATTATCAGTAACGAAATGTAGACAAATATAGACAAATGTAAAAATATAAGAACTGTTTATATTTGTGTACATTTCGTTAGTGTTTTATTTTTAATCCAATATTTATTTATTAATCAAATATCCTTGGGATGGATAATAGGGGTGATGACTAACTTTTTTTTTTTCATCTATTAGGTAGATGATCAAAAAGTATTAGACACAATTTTTTTCTTTCTTCACATAATCAAAACATTCCAGAAATTTATTGATTTGAAATGTAGCATGATGTATATGTTGTATGTTTTGGTACAATTTTTACTTAAATGTAATGTCACAAACCCTCATTCCCAAACTTTGATGCGCTTTATCTTTATTTGATTGACCAAAGAAAAAATATGTACATTATTTTTTGATAATTTATCTGACAGAATAAATAGAATATTGTTTTCTTTACCCTGGCCCTGTCATCACCCCTATTAGTACTGAATTAAAACAATAAATAGTAATATATAAGATACAGCTGTGCTGGCCAGGATCTTAGGTGAAGTCTTCATGAGGATACTCAAGATAATACTCCCATTTAGTTTGACCCCGTATATACAGTGATGTTATTGAGTTTATTCTATACACTCTGAGATATGTCCAGGAAAAAAAAATACAAACCCAAAGAACTTGCTGTAAAGTGACACCAGATAAATTAAAAAAAAATCTTATCAACCTCTACCTAATATTTGTGAGAAAGGACAAAGTTAAGAATACTATAATTGTATTCTTTTTTTTTTGAGTAAGTTTTTGAGAAATCTCATTTTAGTTGTTTTCATAGAGTTAAATAAAGGAGTAAAGTGTATTAAATGTATTGGGATATAAAATTTAGGTCACCTACATACATGCATTGGGCAAGTTGTTTTATTTTGTTTTAAATCTTCGCTCTCGAAAATCTTACAGATTGTTACACCAACACCAGCTTCTATTGCCGATCTTGGCCAAAGAAAATCCAAGAAGAAGCGGGCTGCTTCTCCTGTTGTCAGTGAAAGCTCAGGGGAGGAATATGATCCGCGAGGAGATAACACTGCCTCTATGAGTGTGGCAACACCTAAGGCCAAACATTCCCGACCCAAGACACCCAAAATGCCTAAGGCTAAAAAAACTAATAACTCTAAAAGTAAAAGTAAGTATTTTTTGTTTTTACAAACATAACTTTATACATTTAGTACAAAGAAGCAAACTCATTTATTGAGGACTAGTGGCCGCCAGCGACTTCGTCTGCCTTTGGTTTTTGAGAATCCCTCAGAAAAATTAACACTTGCGGGAAAAAGAATATCCTATGTCTCAATTATTAATTAAATAAATAAACTTTTTGTATTCAGCATTGCTTTCAAAATTTTCAGAAAAGACTGAAACAACTAGTAGAATTAGTGCAGCTGAAAGAAAGGACATGGGACCCCAAAGTCCATGGGCATCGATGCCCGAAGAAGTTCTTGTCAAGATATTTGAATATGTTGTTGCTTCACAAGGGACCTTACCAACTGTTATAAGGTAAGTTAGCTGAATATATATTTACTATTTTTAACTAGGGCGATAGAGTTTGCATATGCATGTTACTTGACATTTTTTAAATTATATCATGTGTAGTACAATCGACAACAAACCCAAAACCGGTTAAGAAAGTTTGACATTTTATAAATGTTCTTTTATAAAAAACAATTTCCCTATCTTAAATATTTTATTCATTTAGTTGCATTATTTTTCAATGCATCGTAAAAGCCATCCTATCTCATTTTAACTAAATGTTTTTCAAAATTTTATTAGTTAGTTTTAATAAACTTTCCATTATACATGAACACATGGTAAAATTTCCCATCCTCAATAAAGATTTTGCTTGACAGGAAAATCTTAGGAACGTTTTATATTAAATAACTTGATTTGATGAGGTTTCTTAACATATTCAATATTTTTCTTCCAGACTGGGGAGGGTTTGCAAGTTATGGCACAGCGCTAGTTGCAAACCTGAATTGTGGAAAAACGTAGACCTTGCATCATACACAATAGAAAAATGCAAAACAGACTACAAACTCGTTTGGCTTCTTGAGAACCGACTGTCACATTGTCAAAGTTTAAATATATGTAAGTATTATTGTTGACAATTAATGATTAATTTTGAATGTGCAAAGGATAGAACTTCCTCTTAGTTAAGTGTCTGCTCAAGGATTACCAGTCCAACTATAGTGCAAAATATAGTAGGAAGAGTCGAACTTGTATACATATTATTAATATACAATCAATAGCTAAAGCTACCAGTTTACAAAATATGGTTGAATTATTTTTTTATCTTTAGTGGTAAATGTAGCGTGTCAGTGACACAAGGCATAATTAAAGAACGTATTTTGCTGTTAAAGTACAGGGTCCCAAATGCCAATAATAATGTAGAAACAAATAAAAACGTGTGTTACACCTGTTTAAAAAGTGTTTTAATAAATGATTGGTGGTGGTGAAAACAACAAAATTAAATGTCAATTTTGATTCCAGCTCAATGGAAAGTGTGCAATGTATCGTGGGTATTGGCATGCGTAGCGGAGTACTGCAAGAATCTGATGGAGCTGAGTGTGGCCGGGTGGAGTCGCATCACGCCCGAACAACTGTATGAGCTGATGCAGGGACTGTCGAAGCTGCAACGACTGGATTTGTCACTAACGGTAAATATTCAATGGAATTTGCGCAATGTATTAGAATCTGACGTAGCTAGAAGTGGCCGGGTGACAACTGTACGAGCTGATGCCGGAACTAATGAAGCTGCAATGACTGGATTTTTCACTTACGGTAAATATTCAATGGGATGTCTGCAATGTATTAGAATCTGATGGAAATATTCAATGGGATGTCTGCAATGTATTAGAATCTGATGGAGGTGAGAGTGGCCGGGTGACAACTGTACGAGCTGATGCAGTGACTGACGAAGCTGCAACGACTGAATTTTGCCACTAACGGTAAATATTCAATGGAATGTGTGCAATGGATTAGAACCTCAAGGAGCTGATCATTGCCGAGTGACAACTGTACGAGCTGATGCAGGGACTAACGAAGCTGCAACAACTGGATTTTGTCACTGTAAACTTACTGTAAATGTAATGGTAAACATTCAATGGAATGTGTGCAATGTATTAATTAGAATCTGTCCAGATGAAAGTGGCCAGGTGATAACTGTATGAGCTGATGCAGGGACTAAACGGTGAATATTCAATGGAATGTGTGCATTGTATTAGAATCTGATGGAGCTGAATAACTATTGTACCAGCAGATATAGGGACTGACGAAGCTGCTACGTTTGGATTAGTCACTAAGGGTAAATTTTCAATGGAACGTAAGCAATGTATTAGTGTCTGACGGAGTTGAGTGTGGCCGGGTGACAACTGTACGAGCTGATGCAGGGACTGACGAAGCTGCAAAGACTGGATTTGTCATTAACACTAATTTTATCCTAGGCTAAAGGACAATGGGCAAAAGTGTATGGACGCTGCACCCACGTCCGCCACAGCTTAAGCTACATTTATTTGAAAGGTATTATAGTCATGTACATCTGTGCCAAAGCGCATGAAATTCCATCCCGGGGGTCTTTAGTTATTTTAAGTTAAATAGGTACAAGTACTATAACGAACGAACATTAATGAAACAAAGGGAATTAATTTAGTGAGATAGTACGACTCTACCTTATGTTATTCTACCGTGCTAGAATAAATCCAAAAGTCCCTGCATGGGTCGGGGTTTTTTCAAAAATTTTTTGTTATAGTAAATTGTCTTCTATGTAAAACGGAGCGCCCACAAATCACACAAACTTCGTCCACGCTTCGGAGAAAACATGATTCCAGTTCATTCATACTAATTGACAAAACCGATAATCCTGTTGCAATGTTTAAAGCGTGTTTCATATATAAAATCAATCAAGTGACAGGGAACGCACAATCACAACGAAGTAAGACGTGCCGACTATTTGCAACTGCAAGTCCTTCAACCCCCGTAAATCGTTTTGAGGTGTCTCAATAAGTTCAAGCGCAGGATGGTCAGCAGGATTTGTCGTATATCTGGTTGTATAGTACGATATGGTATATTATTATGGTTACTAATAATATAAAATGAAGGTCCTATAAAATGAATTTAATTAGCTACTTAAATATGCCCATGTGTCATATCTTTTGACTATCAGGATATTTATTTACAGTATATCTTTTGGTCATAATGAAAAAGGCTAGCTTTTCGTAGATCTATCGATTCATACTAATTACATCGTTGGCGGAGCTGGGTGTGTTTTGCCCATTGTCCTTTATTATTTTGACGTCAGCATATTTAATATGGCACGTTAAATACTCCACGCGTTGGATCATGACCCGCTTTCTATAATCTATCTATGGGTATGGGTAAGGGTGTGTGCCCCAGTGGTGGGATTAGTGTTGCCCAAATTCAGTCTTGGTCTTGTTCTTGCATTTTTGCAAGACCAAGACCAAGAACAAAACCGCGTATTTTTAGCAAGACCAGGACCAAGACTGACCCTGCAAGACTTGAGCAAGAACAAGACTAATCCGGCAAGACTCTTGCGTCTCGTAGCTAGGACTTAGCGCTATTTCACGGAGTAGTTAGGTATAAATTTTTTATCAATTAATGGTACTTTAGGTCTATTTGTAAACATAAATTGTAAAATTGTTTGTATAAGACTGTTTGTTACCTGAATTAAATAAAAAAATAAAATAAATAAACATTTCGGTGTATAGGTACACTTAGAAATTCTATGAGACGCAAAAAACTGTATCAAAGAATATGAAAAACTGGACCTATGCGTATTACGACCAATACCATAAACATACATAGCAAATAAAAAAAATATCCATTAAAATCAAACAGAGTGCATGCATAGTTTTGTTTTAACCATCGGCACATTGATAATGCGGCATCAAAGGTTTTGTACTGACTTCTCAAAGAAATTTGCCGCTTTTCGGAAGTACATGGTGATGATACACGCGCCGCCGCGCCGGCGGCTTCTATTGAAATCACATACAACAATCTTTGCCGCCGCGCCGAAATCACAACATTTGACACTATTTGATTGCCGCCACAGGGCCTAGGTATACTCATGCAAACTTTTAATTTCGTGTCGTGCCGTCCCACTCACGCTAATCCTATTTAATATATGAGCGAGCGAGACGGTACGACACGAACTTCGATTTTCGAATTTTAGAATACAGGTGTTCCAAAGAATAAATAAGTTTCAGAGTGCTTAGAATGGAAACGAATACATTATACTGAATACTGATCACGCAAGTAGTATTATGATTAGATACAGGTAAGTATAGGTAGTAGATGTCATAATAATTTATTCTAGTAAGTATATATTATAATATTGATTATATGGGTTTAAACTAATTACTTAGGTACTATTTAATATTGTTCTTTAAAATACAGTCAACTTATTGTAATTAATTTGTTTTTTACATGTTTTAGCACATGTAAGCTTATAAAGTGTAAATGTTTATTAAGAAACAGTTACTTCCATGGAAAGCGGCATATAGCTCAGTTGATAACCATGTGGCAGTTGATTTTTCGAATTTCTTATAAAATCTTCAGACATTTATTAATCTGATTAGTCTTTACTATGGCTATGTTAATTCAAGCTCACAATATTCCAATTCTAATACGATTTTCTAAGATCTAAAGTAAACTTTAATAAATAGCAATAGTTTAATAGGTAATTGCAAGACTTGCAAGACTCTTGCTGCAAGACCAAGACTGGCTAAGTCTCGTCTTGTTCTTGCATTTGGGCAACACTAGGTGGGATGCTTCTTCTTTGCCATACACAATCAACATTCATTCCCGATGGAAAACACGCACGCAAATCACCCCCGCGCGGGTCGAGGGGCAGGTTATTGTTTAATCGGCCATATTTTCCTACGCTTTGAGTGCATATTTTCACTCTGTCGTTTTAATATTGACATAAAATGTATGAAACTTTTGTCAAATTTGACATTTGTTGCACCTGGACCGTAGGTTTGGAACGCATCCCTGTGTATTATGTGTATGACAGTCACGAGAGCAATAGACGGAGTGTGTAGAGACAACATGCTTCAGAAAGAGTCGAGGGGAGTCTGATGATGGTCAATATACCTACTAATTATAATCATTTCCCGCCCAGTCTGAGACAGGCGGTTCCAGTACGTGCTTGTCAGCCGCATCAATGTCTCGCCTAGCGGAGAACTTCGGCGCGCGTCTGACGCACCTCACGCTGGCCAACAACAAGTTCACCGCGCTGCCGCAGATCCTGACCTCCGTCGCGGTGAGTCGCCCTTAATTCCCAGTGCCGTTAGGATTCAGCCGCAGTCTGAACAGTAAAGGACAACTTATGTGACTGAAAATATTGAATTTTTAGTAGCTCATTCTGTTCGCACTACAAAATAAAGCATAATCGGCCGAAAATGTCATGTGTTAAATTCTTAATTAGCGAGAAATCGGCTAATCAGTAAAAACATGAAAACTTATTTTTATGGCAAAAAAACACGACTAGTGCATCACACTACAGCAAATATTTTTTTGAAAAAATGCATATAACGAAAAATAGAATTTTTACAAAAAATAAAGCTCAAAAATGAGCTTAAAATCAACAGTCCCTAAGCCGCCATTAATCAGATCTTAGTTTAGAATTTAATTCCTTCGACACGATTTTTTTTTTATAGATAGGTCCGACAAATGACTTCACCCCACTTGATGTTAAGTGAAGGTGAAGTCCAGACGCGAAGATAGCTGATACAGCAGTTCTACCTGCCACACCAGCCATCCTCACCCTGCCGGCCTGCATGTTGCTTCTTCACGCCTCTTTTAAAGGATCCCAGGTTGTAAGAGGGAGGGAACACGTGAGCGGGCAGAGCATTCCATTTACGGATAGTGCGACAAAGAAATGAGTCACCAAATTTCTTTGTACGCGTTGGAATTGTGGCCACAGTAAAATGGTGACAACGTAGGCCAGCGCGCGTGGTCCTCTGAAGGAAAGGGGAAGGTGGGATAAGAGAGAATAACTCCTCAGAACACTCACCGTGGTACAAACGATAGAACGCGCTTAGTGACGCCACGTCACGGCGTAATTGAAGAGGCTCAAGGTGTTTAGTCACCTCCTCATCGCCTATGATGCGGATCGCGCGCCGCTGTAACCTATCCAAAGCATCGAGCAAGTATTTGGCGGAGCCATCCCAGAGGTGCGAGCAATATTCCACGCAGGACCGCACTTGCGTTTTGTGCAACAAGCACAGTTGATCGGGCGTGAAAAAACGCCGCACCTTGTTCAGGACTCCGAGTTTGCGTGAAGCTGTTTTGATCACGGTTTCGATGTAGTCCTTTGGATTCAGGTCTGAGCGAACTTCATACCGAGCATGGAAATGTTGCTCTGCAGCGGTAGTGTTGTGCCCTGAAGAGATGGAAGGGGAAGGAATGGCGATGTTTTTGCCGTGAAAGCGCAAGTTTGAGTTTTCTTGGCATTGAACTCAACCAAGTTCCTGGTACCCCATTCGGAAATGTGGTCCAAAGCCTGATTGAGCTCAATGACAAGATTTTCCCGTTTCTCCTTGGTTACTGCCTGCCCAGCCGCTGCTTGTCCGAGATACCCCGCATGCACTGTACTGTCGTCTGCATAGCAATGAATATTCCCAAGAGGAATTAAGTCATTGATATGCAGCAGAAAGAGAGTGGGGGATAGGATGGAGCCCTGGGGAACGCCGGCATTCACTGAAATGAACCGCGAACTGCTACCATCCGTAAGGACACGAATTCTACGCTCATGCAGGAAGTCAGCTACCCAAGAACAGAACTGGGCTGGCAGACCGTATGCCGGAAGCTTGGAGAGAAGGCTTTTGTGCCAGACCCTGTCGAACGCCTTGGCAATGTCAAGGCTGATAGCCAACGACTCGCCACGCTTGTCGATAGCCTCACCCCAGATATGAGTTAAGTACGCTAGAAGATCACCCGTCGATCGTTTCGGTCTAAATCCATATTGACGATCATTAATCAGGGAGTGATCCTCTAGGTAGCGGGTCAGATGGTTATTAAGGACCTTTTCTAGAACTTTACATAAAACTGAGGTGACAGCTATTGGCCGGTAGTTTGCCGGGTCTGAGCGATCCCCTTTTTTGGGCACCGGTTGCACGCTAGCATCTCTCCAAGTCTCCGGCACACGCCCCAAAGAATACGAGCATTGGTACAAGCGCGTGAGCACGGGAGACAACTCCGCTGCACATTTTTTAAGTATTACTGCTGGGATGCCATCAGGTCCACTAGCTTTCCGGACGTCGAATGATTGCAATTCGGCACGAACCTCACGCTGCCTGATTTTAATATCAGGCATCGTTGTGCCACAGTGAGGTAATGATGGTGAAGGTGCATTGCAATCATCGATTCGGGAGTTAGCCGCAAAGAGTTTTGCCAGTAAATCGGCTTTCTCCTGTGGCTTATGAGCTAGTGTTCCGTCTGGGCATCTCAGAGGTGGCAGCGAGGGCTGGCAGAAGTTTTTTTGCACGGCCTTGGCCAAACGCCAGTAGCTACGGGAGCCCGCAGGATGCGTTATAAGTTCCTGGCCAACACGTGCAACACGCTGGGCATCCGCTCTGATGTACGATATGTTATAGTTTGACTATTTTCATTTATTTTGAATTGTTTTCAATTTAGATCCTGTGGAAATAAAATACAAAGACAGTAATGTGAACATTAGGCCAAAGATTGCAACAAATTGAAGATTTGCCATAAAAATAAGTTTTCATGTTTTTTACTGATTAGCCGATTTCTCGCTAATTAAAATTTTAACGCCCGATATTTTCGGTCGATACTCATTATTTTGTAGTGCGAACAGAATGAGCTACTAAAAATTAAATGTTTTCAGTCACATAAGTTATCGTTTTCATGTGAGACAGAACTGAGGCGCGCGTCTGACGCATCTTAGGCTGACCAATAACAAGTTCAATGCAGATCCTGACCTCCGTTGTAGTGAACCGAACTTTACTCCATTGTAATAAGTACTAGTTTATTTAAGCACAGACGTAGAGTTTGGACTGAGCGATGGTGTACCCCATTGATATAGCTACGAACCACATGATCGCTGCGTTTCTCTCACACAGTTTGAAAACAGTTTTTTTTTACTTTTATTTATTAATACAAAATATCGCCGGCCGTTATTTTATTTACTCGTTTTCGCGTGAGGACTGAGAAGGTTTTTAATGAAAAATATGTCGTCGGGGAAGGGGAGACAAGACTGCGATGGAAATAAATACATGTTCTTATGTCACCTGTAAAATATTTTTATTTTAGCTGCTAACGGCCTAGTTCGCTTTGGTTGGGGTTGAAAATGCGTTCATATTACCTTTACTCGCACAGAACGAAACAAAAAAACTCTGTAGTAAAATCTCAAATTAGCTGGTAGAATTCGAAACTTGTTGGCTATTTGACAGTATGAAAAATAATGTACAAATTGTTGGCATCTGTATTTAATATAAATATTAGTAGCGATTTCACTATTCTGAATGAAAAAATAATAAATAACTTTTCTTTAAAATCATTATATAGAAATTATTATTTTACTCCATGGTGACGTGACCGCGAAGCGCCTGGGATTTGCCAAGACTAAAATGTCGTCACACGCTAGTAAAGTTCCGTCTAGAGTGACAATACATTGTATCATTTGACGTTTTTATGACAGTCATGTGACGTCTCATACTAGTGAGGCTCGATAATGTCAAATTGAAAATTGAATTTTGTTTTTTTTACTGAATTTCACAACAGAATTAAAAATATCCACTTTTTATGGACTCTATAAACATTACATTAGTACATAACGTGAGATCGTTTTCTAGAACTTGTCAAATACCCTATTGATGTGTTAACTGTAAATATAAATAATCATCATCATCATCATCAGCCTATTAATGTCCCCAATGCTGGGGCACAGGCCTTCCCTATGGATGGAATAGGGAGATTGGCCCATGACCCACCACGCGGGCCCAGTGCGGATTGGTGGGTGCTAACGACTGCAGATGCAGCCGGGACCAACGGCTTAACGTGCCTTCCGAAGCACGGAGGAGCTCGAGATAGTAAATTTTTGGTCACCCATCCAATGACCGGACCACTGCGAAAGTTGCTTAACTTCAACGATCGCAGCCGATTGCGCTAACCACTTGCGCCATCGAGCGCCATCAATATAAATAATAGAGACGAATATTTCTCGACAACTATTTGAATTGAAACTATTATATTGAAAGTAAATATTATTTACACTCTTTTATATATTTATCTCATGGTATCACAACTTTGATGCTATGCGAACCTTAGACGGGATGTAAAGGTACGTATTTACAGTTTAATTTATTTCGGACTGCGTGATTATTAACAAGGTTGATTCGTTACACAGACGTATTGCGCTAACTTGGAAGTTTTGGACATATCCGGGGCGATGGCGACGTCGCATCCAGCGGCGGTTCCTTTAGAAGCTCTACAGAAGGGATGCCCTAAACTGCGTGTCTTCAGAGCAGCTAATTCACAGTTGGTTCTGGCGTCAGCGACCACTTCGCAACAGGTTAGTTGAGTTTAAGTTATTATACTTCTATGAATAGCCGGGTCTCCAGCGCGTGGTTTGCCCTACACAATCAACAAACAACAACATATCAACAAAATCGTCTACACAAAGCTTTGTTTCACTACACTTATTTGTTTGCATCAACAAAGTTTTTGCTTTCCGAGCCCGATAAAACATTTCACTCTGACATTTCAATTTTGAAATAATATGTACGAAACTTTTGTCATTTGTTGCACCTGGGTCGTAGTTTTTTAACGTAGCTCTGCTCCGCTGTGTACTTTGTGTATAAGAGCCACGTGAACAGTAGACGGCGTGTGTAGAAAAACATGTTTCAGAAACAAAGTATTGGTTATGTGTTTTTTTTTAATTTTTTTAAAAAACTCTTGCTGGAGACCCGGCTTAATGCCGGCACTTCACTTGAGGAGGTTCTCAATTCGTTAGTATATATTTAGCGCGTAGCATAGTCATTAAAATTTTATTTAGAATGCATTGTATAATCTAAGCATTTGCTGTTGTTGAAATTTCTTCTTCTTTATCCTTAGAACCAAAAAGGTGGCTCTCCCGCTCTCACAGTAGATCGGGCGTTCTTAAAGCGTGCACATCCACTTCAGCGCCGACTGCCATAGTTATGCTTCTCAGTTAAATGATAGGAAGTTAAATGACAGACATGCGTGTATATGGGAACGACTTTGTATTTTATCATCCAGATGGAGGCCGGCGGGTGGACGCAGCTAGAAGAGCTATCTATAGCGGGGGAAGCCGCCGCTGAGCGCGTTATCGTTGGAGAGTATCGGCTCGGGGACGAGGCACTGGCTAGGCTCGTGCGGCACGCGACGCGGCTTCGGCTGCTCGACCTGCGCGGCCTGCAGCGGCTCACTGACTCCGGGCTCGTACGAGTGCCCGCTTGGGACCTGCAACACCTGTTCCTGGGCGGTAACGTATCTCCCCTCCCTCCCCGCCCGCGACTGCTCGGTCTGAACGGTCAGCAGCTGCTCACCGACTACGGGCTCGTGCGCGTGCTCGCCTGGGACTAGCATCACCTGTTCCTCGGCGGGAACGTATCCCCCCTCTCCCCGCCTGCAGCTGCTCTACCTGCGTGATCAGCAGCGGTTCACCGACTCCGGGCTTGTACGCGTGCCCGCCTGGGACCTGCAGCACCTGTTTCTGGGCGATAACGTATCCCTCCCCGCCTGCGGGCTGCGGCTGCTCGACCTGCGCGGCCTGCAGCGGCTCACTGACTCCGGGCACGTACGCGTGTCCGCCTGGGACCTGCAACACTTGTTCCTGGGCGGTAACGTATCCCCCTCCCTCCCCGCCTGCAGGCTGCGACTGCTCGGCCTGAATGGCCAGCAGCGGCTCACTTACTCCGGGCTCGTACGTGTGCCCGCATGGGACCTTCAGCACCTTTTCCTGGGTGGTTACGTATCCCTCCCCGCCTGCGGGCTGCGACTGTCGACCTGCGCGGTCAACAGCGGCTCACCGACTCCGGGCTCGTACGCGTGCCCGCTTGGGACCTGCAACACCTGTTCCTGGGCGATAACGTATCCCCCCTCCCTCCCCACCTGCGACTGCTCGTTTTGAACGGCCAGCAGCGGCTGACCGACACCGGGCACGTGCACGTGCCCGCCTGGGACCTGCAGCACCTGCTCCTGGGCGGTAAAGTATCCTGCCCGCCTGTGGGCTGCGACTGCTCAACCTGTGCGGCCTGCTGCGGCTCACCGACTCCAGCACTCATAAATAAATAAGGACATTTACAAAGACGGCGGAATTAGTTCCTATTTTCGCCACATTCATAAAGATCTCTGTCGCACGATACCGATATTTCCCTCTGTATCCAGGTTAATCGAAACGTCATTATAAAAACATAAATTTCTGTCACCAGGTTGTAACGTGACGCGGCAGAGTAACGCGTGCCTAGAGTTGATATGCGAGAAGTGGTCTCACAGTCTCATCGAGTTGGACCTTTCATGGGCGTCTGCGTCGCGAGTTCTCGATGACGCTGTCTCCGCATTAGCAGATGCATCGAATAGTAAGCTTAGGTAAGAATATAGCAAAAAAAACACTATCCTTACTCATATAAGCTGCAATATAACGCGGTATAACAATGCGAGCGATAAGGAATTACGCTTAAAGGTTGCTTTCTTATTATTAAAAATAAACACTTTATAAGATATTAGAAACAGATACGTAATAAATACCTTATGGGACGTAGAAAACGTGATGTCTGTTGCCCGGACCCGTGGAAAACTTATTGTCCATTGCACCGTTAACGTCGTAAAAAAATCCACAAGCGTTTGCGAAAACTTAAGTAGACTCTACCATCGAGTTGTTAACCAATATGATTTTATTTTATAAATATGTATCAAAGCTTTATTTAAGCATGAAAAACCTTTAACGGATTCCTTATCAGGTACATAAAGCTGATATAGAGTCTTTAGGTAGCTGGCGCGCCTAACATCAATCTCGGGTAAGGATACAGCAATATAGAAACCAGCATAGAGACACTATTACTTCTAACTTAAAATTCAATATAACATAGCTAATAATAGTGAGTGGACATGCGAGAAACGGCCTCTCAGTCTTATCGAGTTTATCCTTTAATGACCGTCCGCGTCTCGAGTACTCGTTGATGCTGTTTTCGCATTAGCAGACGCACCAAATAGCAAGCTTATGCAAGAATATAGCGAAAGAAACACTATTATTACTCATTTAAAGTGGAATTTAATGCACTAACTTCCGCCCGCGACGTCGTCGGCGTTATAATTAGATTTTTAGAATCCCACAGGAACCTAACTTTTTCCGGCATATAAACTATCCTATGTCAATCTAGGTAATAAACGCCAAATCAGTTTAGCCGTTTTTTTTTAGCGCGAAAGTGTAATAAACATCCATAGGTACTTTCGCGTTTCTAATATTAGTAGAATAGCAGAAATTAGGAAGGTTAAGGTTTAGTATGCGAGAAGTGGTGTCACAGTCTCAGCGAGTTGGACCTTTAATGGGACGTCTGCGCTGCGAGTACTCGATGACGCTGTTTCAAAATTCAAATAGCAAAGCTTAGGCAAGAATATAGCAATAGAAACACTATCACTTCTCGCTTAAGTTCAGTATAATAGGTACAATAATAGTGAGTTAATATTATGCGAGATGTGGTCTCATAGACTAATCGTGAGACTTTTTGATGACGCTGCCTCCTTAACCTTAGCAGACGCGCATAACATTAAGCTTAGGTAAGGATATAGCAAAAGTACACTATCATTACTCATTTAAGATGCAATATAACGCGGCATAACAATGCGTGCATAAAGCTGATATAGTCTTTAGGTAGCCGACGCGCCTAACGACAATCTCAGGTAAGGATATAGCAATAGAAACCAGCAAGCTTGGGTATGAATATAGCAGTACAGGTATTTACACGGGAAGTGGTCCTATAGTCTTTTTACCCTAGTTACATTCAGTCACTACCATTGCTGTTCGCGTTGTTTTAAAGTACTCCCCAAAATACTACAGTAGCAACGTCAAGGAATGTGTATTTACATTGTCGCATCAAAATCGACCAATGACAAGAAAGCTTAGAGCGAGATGTTGAGAGCGAGCGGGACTGCAGCAATAGTCGCGTTTGTACTTCGCTCTGTGATGCCCGCATTTTAATTCTTTCTAGTTACAATTTTAATGATAAACTGTATAATCTACTAATTAATCCCAACTAAGTAAACATTATCTCTTATTGTTACAGAACACTCAACTTATGTGGGTCATCCGTATCTTTAGCGCCTGTCAAGAAAGTTCTATTAAAATGTCCAAATATAGAGTCAATAAATCTTAGCTCTTGTAGAGCTCTGCCCAGAGGCATGAAACGCTTATACACCGGCAAAGAACTACAGGACCTGAAAGATAGCTTAGATCCAGTAAAGGTTAAAACCAAAGAAAATGAAGAAGACGAAAAGAAAGGCGTAGAAAAGACCGAGGCGGATTCTAAAGCTGCGACGACACCGGAAACTCCTAAAGCAGAAACATTAGATAGCTCATGTGATAAGGTGGAAGCCAAATCTCAAGATAAATCCGAATCGCCCATATTTCAAGAACCCAAAAGCGTATCTGAATGTAGTAACAAAGTGCCAACCGATATCACAACCAAGTCCTCACCGGACAGTAAAACTGATCTGTCTTTTAATAAAGATTGCGTAGAACCGGCAATTTCATCAGAAGCCAGACGCATTGTAGGTAATACTACGCCAAAATTACTAAGCCCAATCTCACAACTGAGGCCAGATTCCTCTTCGACTCCAAGGTCTGAACAGGCAAAGGATGCTATGGGAAGCCCCCATTTCAGTCCTGTCCCGAAACCTGACAGTCAAGTTCAGAACAGCCCTGAAGTGTTACCAGAATCTATAAAAAGCAACTCATGGAATCTGGGACAGTTCAAAACAACGCCCACACACAAATCTGAAGCGAGCCCACTCAATAGAATAGATAGTCATAGCAAATCCAGGCATGGAAAAATGGTTGAACAGTGTAGCCCTACAACGTCATTAGAAAATAAACCAAGTCCCGAAACCCTCGGCGTGAAGCACGACATAAAGAACCCCAATAGCTGGAGTTACGGAAGTCCAATGCCTCGGCAAGACCAATTTTCTTCACAAAGAAGTCCATATTCAGCGCAACCGAGTCCCGCCCAACCTAGCCCATATTCAACGCAGCCGAGTCCTTACTCGACCCAACCTAGTCCATATTCTTCCCAACCTAGTCCATACTCCGCCCAGCCGAGTCCCGATACGAGTCAAATAATAAAACCGGAAATTCAGAAATCTGGAGCGTGGAACTCTGGTAACTTCAGTCCAATGCCGAAACACCACGCGCCGTTCTCTCCTCATCCGTCGACGCACACGAGTCCCGACCCTGGCTTAGGAGTAAAAAGTGACATTCGAAGTAATCCCAACAAAACTCCCGGTGGCTACAGTCCAATGTCGAGGCAGGATCGTCATCATCACAGTCCGTACTCGCCTCGGCCGAGCGTAGAGAACGTCGCGTACAGTAATAAAAAGAGTCCGGGGGTAGCGGGCGGGTACAGTCCAATGATGCGATCCGACTGTCACTTGCCCAGTCCGGATGGCGGAGGGCAGAGTCGGCAAGCCTTGGGGCGTACGCAAGACTTGTTCGGTCGGACGGTAGCCAAAGTGCCGGATTTACCAATACACAACAGCACGCCAGCCCCAGACATTCCCAACACTTGGGGTATGGAGAGGTATAATCCGCTAAGCACTCCGCCGACGAGTATCGAGTCTTTAGTGTGGGGCACATCGTTCGGTACGGAGCCGGCGTTGCCTCGCGTCGACAACGTTCCGGCAACGCTGAACACGCCGCCGGCGCAGACTTGGAACGCGTTACCGCCTTTCGACAGTGGAGTGCGGAGACCTACGGAGGACATCAGTGATCCGTGGACTTTAGGTCAGTTTCGAGTGGAACCCCCCCACCAGGTGCAGAATTTCGTGGAACAGAATGTGAGTTTCGACTCGCTGAGCGGGCACCTGAGCCACGTGCTGCCCAGCTACTTGGATGACGGCTTCTCGGAGACTTCGCGCGTGGACTGACGCTCCGAACCTCCCACCCTGCACTTGCACGACCCTCGAAGGTTAGCGTGACATTGTAATTAAATTTTGAACAATTATCTTGTAGACATTGTAAATAAGATTATCTAGTTAGATGTAAGGGTAACAAAGCTAGGAGTGCATTGAATTTATTTTGCAATCCATAGTCTATGAAAAAAATATGTAATAAGGACAAATTATATTAAGAGTTAGAGAAATTCATTGATGAACTTAGATATTGTTGGATTATACTCATGAGTTAGATTTTAGAATGAGTCTTTATTTAAATGCCAAAATCTGTTTACATAAACCGAGGCCAAAATAAATATTTATTTCAATTTTAATTGTTGAAACATTTATCTACTCTATTTATCATTTTTTTGTTATAACACTCATTAAGTAACAACAGGTATCTTTAGAGCCGCAGTCAAATAAAACATTCCTAATATATATGAAATTTGCGTGATTCATATTATTAATTTCCAGAATATTTACTTATAACGGTCGTGATCGTAATTAAATATATCATATATCATTAACCTTGATATTTGCTTTATAATATGTTGAGAGAGTTCTAACTAATGATTGCTAATATGATTATAAATTAATAAAAAATGATATGAAGCTTTAAGTTAAAGCAGCTAGTTGATTAAATTTTTTGGGCTCAATTTTATTATTATAATGTTTTTGTAAATACGTTTGCCGAAATTATGTCTGTTTGTCTAGGCTTTTCTTCAAAAACTTGAAAAGGAATTGTTTGAATAAAATACATAATTTAATTGTAACCATTTGATTCCATATTAACTTCAAGACGCATTTTTCAGAAAATATTCTTTAAGTATAAAATTTTAGACTGTAATGGGTCTGGGCTGTGCTTTCTCCAACCCATGAACTATCAGATAATGCGTTCACAAAATTAAAGCACGCATTGATGCACTTAACATTACGCAATAGAGTTTATCATATATTAATAGCATTTCAGACCATGTGCCCGGAACTCTCATAGTTGTATGAATTTCTTTCTCCCTTTGAAATAATTGTCCGACCTATTTCCAGTTCCACCTAATAATATTATTCATCTATTACGGATAGATTTTTTACTATGTGCACACAGCAGCTCTTTGTGTTAATCAAAATTTCGATTCAAGCCTGCCTGAGTTGAGTTACTTCTGGTAAAAATATCATTAAATTAAAATTCTACCTACGTATGCAGTCCAAAATCGTGTTATTTTTTTATTTTGTGCTAACCTGATGAGCTGCGTCAGTACTTACAAGAATTCTTTCCATCATTGAATTGGCCAGTACTTCAATAGATATGTTCATAACTATGCTCAAAATATATTTATATAGTCTTGCATGCATACAAGCAGGCACAGAAATTTCTTTGACAAAAAGAGTTATAAAACAGTTGTAACAGTAAAGCCTCTGTCATACAGTTTTCGTTAGATTTCTGATGGTGGTTATCAATTCTGTGTTGCTATTGTTAGATAAATTTTAACAATTGTTAATTATAATATTGTTCCAGCACTGAATCGACCTGCCCCGTACCATGAGCACCGCATCGTGATTAAACTCTTATTTTAAGAAATGTTACTTTAAGGCCCATTTGCAGCGAATTTGCTAAATCTCGATTCAACAAGAACTAGCTTTAACCCATAAAAAACGTCAATGTCAATCAGACGTTATTGTATGGGATATAGCTAGTTTTAGTTGAATTGAGATTTAACAAAATTGCTGCAAGTGGACCTAAAAGAAATATCGCAGCTGCGTATCTATTTATTATCGATATATTCATTTGTCAAAAAAAATGATAATCGTGTTTCTTGCTATGGGGACAGGAAGCAAATACGTATATTTTGTCGCGATAGTATCTTATATCCAAAACTACTTTATCTATAGAATTATGTTATCTGAATTAGACGTTGTGTATGGCATTCATATTTGAAAACATACATCTCTCGAGCTGATTTTTGTCTAATATGTTGCATTTCCATGGCACCTTTGAATCTACCTTTACTGGTTTCAGAACACTTTCGCGTCGACCTAGAAATAACTGTCCTTGTCAGTTACCTAACAATATAGATACCAATGTTAAATGAGTCCTGTATTCTGTTTTGAATTGGTTTAATGTTTTCTCATAACTGATATATTTTCTCTGTTTAATCTATAATTTATATATACGTAATTAATTATTCACATTTAACCGTATAATTGTGCTAACCGTTACTTTATAATCTATCTAGTGAGACTGTAATGTGTCGAGAGATTGTGTACAGACACGTACATGATTAAGTTTATCCCTTACTGACGTAAGAAATAAACTAAACTAGTAACTAAATGAAAGCTACTCATAGTCACAGCCCTACACCAGCTGCAATTTTTTAAACGAATAAATCAATAACTTCCTCTCAAGTTGTCAGTAAAATTGATTTTTTTGTAATTAGTGGCATTTTATTGTTACGTGTCGGGATGGGGTCCGAAATTATATGCCAGTTCACGCTTGACAATTCTTTATTCACCATACAATTATACAGACACTTTACACTATACCAGTCTTGAAGCAATCGCACTTGAACACATTACTTGCACTTTGATCGCCTTGGTATTCGTTCCGAAATCGCTGTTGAAACTCAACTGTCCATTGCAGGCGCCGAAAGCGTTTATACACGCCAATCGACGCATTTCAGAAAAGTCCAGTTCAGTTGAGAGAAGTCGAGAAATTAGTGCCTCGTTATACGTAGGTAATGCGTATGAGTTGTAAACAAGTGCAGATGTCGTTGCACTTTCACCCTTACGTTGCACAGCTTAAGGCTCATATAATAATGAACCGCAACACTCGGCCTCAAGCCGAGGCGCTCTGGTTAAATAAATCTGTTTCCAGTGTGTTCGCGGTTTTGGTTCGAGAGCGTTTGTGACGGTATGTACAGTCTGGTACAATCTGGCTTTAATTAGGAACCCACCAAAGTTTGACTCAACACAGTTTGCAAACACAATTAACGTAAACGTTATAATGCAAATTTTAACTGCCTGTTTTCAGTCTATATACAGCGGTTTATAATCTCACTAGATTAAAAAGAAACGGTTTTTACAAAAAGACGAATTATTTACATTGGAAAGTCAACCAGAAAGGAATCTCGAAATGTATTGGTTGAACAGCTCAATATAATAAGAAAATTCGTCTAATTTACAAAATGCACTATTATCTTCCATCTTTATGCCATCTTTATACCAGAATTATATTCTCCATACATTTTTATGTTTGTCTTTGTGAATTATTTTTATATGCCATATCTATTTTCGAATGAAATCATATTGGTACATATCTTATTTTTCTTGGTATCTAATTTAAAGATCGTGTATTAATAATTTATTTTTTTACTAGTATTGCTTTTATATTTTTACACTATTATTATAATCATTTGTTAATAAATTATCATATTATATTAATGTTTATGATTGAACACTCTTGTTTTTGATAATGCTGAATTTCAACGAAAATACACATTGAATACAAATTTATAAAAAATAATATATTACATTCATACATATTTAGAGCCAATTGCAATGCCCATTTCCCTAAATTAATATGTTTATATTCTTTTTCATTAATTTCGATTGCTTTAAAACTTTCACGATAAAAGCCAAGTACAAAGTGCTTTGTATATAAAACATACATTATGTAACATAGGTACTTCGTGTTGTATTTGAAGACCCTTAAAAACCACCAAATATTGTTTCCAAGACCTACATTAGCCTTATAAAATGCCTAATGTTTAACTGAAGAGAATATTTTATAGTTTTATTAACTTATTACAAAATGAAGAATATCTACTATACATAGAATGTATTATAATATTAGGCGAATATTATGTTAAATAATCGTGTACCATAGTATGTATAAAATAAAGTTGACTAATAATTGTAAGTTCTGTTATGTAGAGATTTTTGTTTGTAATATTGTTACAATACTGCGTGGACTTCTTACAGATGGTCCAATTTTTATAATCTAACCAATAAAATATCGATGTGGTTGTACATTTACATTTTGAATAGAATTACTCTATTTATTAAAATTCTTTTGTTAAAAGTCATACCCCATCTTTATAAGCATCATGCTCCCAATCCTACACAGTGCATATAGCTAATACTAATAATAATAGCTAACGTTAGTCAGTGGAACATAAGTAGAGACCAGGGTTATTACGGATATTCGCATCTGCAAATGCGGAATAAATTCAGACATTTTCATCAGCATCCGCATCAACTGATGCGGAGCTTTTACGGATGCGGATTCATATCAACAAGCAACAGAAAAAGACTGACATCTGATGGTTTTGTTCTTAAAATTAATATGAATAGTTTCAACATTAAATCGATTTACATTTCGGTAATAATGAGAATGAATAATGAGAATGAGATTATTTTAAGAGTTATTATTTATTGATGACTTAAAATTTTAATATGCTTTTAATATATCCTGAAATTCTGAAGATTTGTATTTTAATAATCTGCATCCACATCCGCGAAAGTTTTTTTTTGCATCCGCAACAACCCTGGTAGCGACCGCAGGCCACCCCCACTATTAAAGATCGCATACAAGGGTACCTCCTTGCGACAAGGCTTGTAGACCAGGGCGATAATTTTTGAGACCAAAAAAAATTATAGTAGGATGAAACCCATTAGAAAAGGTAGAGAATATAAAAAAAATGAAAGGAAAAATAAATTACGGGCGATCTGAGGTCGGGAAGGGCCTCCCCCTTGAATGTGATTCAAATCAATTTTTCGGATTCGAGTTTTTTTCATTATTAATTTGCATTTTCTGAGAACATTGATCGTAGTAGTGTATATTTTTTTTTATACCATCAGAAAGTAGAGATTTCAACAAACAAAAAACACCCCAACTTTTTTAAAAAAGCAGATATTTTGACGTGCGATTGAAAATTAGGGTGCTTTTTGGATATTAAGTCAAAATAAGGTGAAAAAATGAATATTTTAAATCAAAAAAATTACTGTATGTTTGGGACATACAAAGGTAAGTTTTCACCAAAATTCGTGAAAAAATGTTTTTTTGCAAAAAATAAAAATCAAAAACCAAAAACTCGGTTATTCGCCTTTTTCACATAAATTTTGAGGTTATGTGAAAAAAGTGTCTATACAAAAGTTGTAGATCTTTTTATTACCTACAACTTTGTCATTAACTTTTTTTCATAGGACTTGCAGTTTTACCGGAAATCGAGATTAACCATTTTTTACCCTTAAAAACTCACCCCCTCCCCCTTCCCGACCTCAGATCGCCCGTAATTTATTTTTCCTTTCATTTTTGTTATATTCTCTACCTTTTCTAATGGGTTTCATCCTACTATATTTTTTTTTCACTTTTCACCATTTTTAAAATTATCGACCCTGGTCTATTGGTAGTATTACTACATACGAATGTGACGCGCTTCCCATATTAACGTGTTCAATCAAAACGCGGCTTGCCCCTACCCAGACACCGCATTAAGCGATTTCGATTAAAAATTTAGTAATGCAGTGTCTAGTAGGGGTGTTCTGTGGTGGTGATTCAAACGTAACTAAATGCGTTTAGCATCTTTTCATGCCGGCACTTGGCTATTCGTATTTGCTATTTGTAAACTTGACAACAGTTTGTCATTATCATGCCTTTAAGAAATGAAAAGGACAGACTGATATCAAGCTTATAAATAGCAAACACGAATAGTTAAGTGCAGACATCATATTTATTGCTTGGTTGTTAAAAAAATAACCAAGCATAAATAGTAATAAAAATAATGAAGCTACTGAATATATGGCTATAGAACCTAAATCTGTTAGCTTTGTTTGATTAACGAGAGTTTAAAAATTCTCTCTGATCTGTGGCTCATTCACAATCATCATACAGTTGCTGTCACAGAGTACCTTATCGAATTACCTTTTAGAATCGATTCTTAATATGCAGCTTAACGTGCAATCTTGGACCCATGCATTCCTACCCATCCGTTATGGTGGTTTAGGGATTCGCAAAATTTCCAGTGTCGCTTTACCAGCCTTCCTATCTTCTGTCCATAGTTCAGCAAATCTCATAAGTAAAATTTTAAGGGCATCCCCTTAAAACTTTGAGATTTCTGGCTTGGAAGAAGCTAGAAACGCTTTCTTAATTGCATGCCCAGGTCAAAATTTTCCAGTTACTCCAAATTCACAGAGGAGCTGGGATGACATAAACTGTAAATTGACTTATGATAACCTAAATAAAACTAGTTTTTACGGGTTAATGCACGAAAACTTTATTTATTTATTGACGTCGTCAGAATAAAACTTTTATAAAAGTTTTATTCTGACGACGTAGCCTGTAAAGGCTACGAAACGTCAATAAATAAATAAAGTTTTCGTGCATTAACCCGTAAAAACTAGTTTTATTTAATGAGTGATGTGCGTGAAAACCTAAGAAACAATTATGATAACCTTTTGAGCTGTAGTACAGGTTCGGCGCGTGCTAGGCTTTTGGCCGTGGGTGCGCACGAAGCCGGCTACTGGCTTCACGCGTACCCCTCGTCAAATATAGGAACATTTCTTGACCCTGACACGCTCCGAATCGCAACCTGTCTACGGCTTGGGGTCCCGGTCTGCGCTCCTCATAAATATCCCTGTGGCAGTGATGTCGACAAGCTAGGACATCACGGACTGTCATGCTAGAAAAGTGCAGGCCGCTTCTCGAGACATGCTGATACGCCGGTCCCTTGCCACTGTCAACGTGCCAAGTCTACTTGAGCCGACTGGTATTGCAAGAGACCAGACGGTATGAGTTTGATTCCATGGAAGATGGGTCGGGTGCTGGTATGGGATGCAACCTGTTCAGACACGCTGGCCCCTTCTCATCTACATGGAACCAACAACAGAGCTGGTGCGGCTTGTGAAGCGGCTGAAAAAGCAAAAGCAAGCAAATACAGGGGTCTAGGCTCCGAATATGATTTTGTCCCATTCGGTGTCGAGACCCCTGTGGTCCTAGCGCTTTAAGGCTATTTAAGGAAATAGCAAAAATGTTAATCGACATCGCAGGAGACCGAAGAGCTGGCAGCTACCTCGGAAAAAGAATTAGTCTAGCCATTCAAAGGGGGAACGCTGCCAGTATCTTTTCCTCACTTAGCTTCGTTGTTTTTGCTCTCTGGTTTGTTTCATTATTAATTATGTACCTTATTATAACCGGAAATGACACCTGATTTAAAAAGTTACTCATAAGCATTAACTTTAAAAACAGGCAACTAAATGTTAATCTACATGCTCTATATACCTGAATCTAATCCATAATTTTGGTACTTGGCTTAATTTCCCTAGTTTACTATATAACTTATTGGTTTTTAATTATTTTAATATGTTCAGTGTATATGGTTTATAGAAGTTCTCAGGGGTGTCCGTCAATAATATTCGTTTCTACAGTAATTTAAATATAATTTCGAATCTAGGAAACAATTTTTCATGATTATTGGTCTTTAGGCCACATGTATGGAAAGCAATCTCCTTTACTATGTTACTATTTCTGAAATACTCTTTGATAGGCATCGACTGCGGTAGTATTTTTTTATGTCTTAAATCTAAATAAAGTTATGAATATTTTCCTTCGGTGAGGCCCGGTGACTTCTATATTTGCCATAACATTTTGAAATTTATGATATAGGAATTAGAGTTTAACTTAAATTGTTAACTTCTCAGTATCTTTTGCCGCGCGTCTCTTAGCGCTGCGCCTCAAGCGATTGTGTAGTAAAGAAAATTATTTACCCTAGAACCAAGAGAGCCATGGCCTGGGTGGTGCCTGTGAAGGGCGACTGCAAAGGCTGCGAGGGGTGACAGATGCCATATAAAGGTATTCTTTACAGAACTATATTTGATTTACTAATTCGAGTGGGGGGATTATTAGCTAAAAATCCTCATTTCCCTTTAAAAGTTAAAGCAAGTCCCAATGTGTCATAAGCTGATCTCTTTCCAAAATGTCAAATAAAATGGATCGCAGAACGAGAAAAGAACAATTAGGCCCCGTATATTTGGTCCTTTTCTCGATAGCATTGGGAGCCTATAACACGGTCTTCCAGGCAGTGTGTGGGCATCATCAGAGCCGCTGAGGCGATTGATTGTCGCGGGGTAAGAGGAAAACATATTCGTATTCTCTCTGACAGCGCTTCTGTCCTACAGGCATTGGACAACAATATAATGACATCAGGCTTAATTTATGAATGCCACAGTAAGTTGACTAATATTGCTAACGACAGTAGATTGTCCTTACAATGGATTAAAGGACACAGCGGCTCAAGGGGTAACGATGCGACGGACTGCTTAGCCAGAGAGGGGTCCAGCAGGACGGCCATTGGTCCGGAGCCAATTGTATCTATACCCTATCGACAGTTGCGAACCTGGATAAGGGAGCGCTCTCAACCACAACACGACGAATACTGATCAAAACTCACGGACTGCAGGCAAGCTAGGGCAGCCGTTCCTAAGATAAACCTGCAGCTAACACGTAAGATAATCAGACTACCTAGAGAAGCCCTAAAACAAGTCGTGGGTAGGGTTGCAACGATATATCGGAATATCGATAATATCGAGACCAAATTATCGATATTTAAAATTCATTGATATCGATATCGGAAATTCCAAAATATCGATATTTCGTAGACTAAATTTGAACACAATAATATCAATTAATTTACCTGCTATGACTATCTAAATTGAATAATATCGAAATAACTATTGCTTTGAAATCGCAAGAGCTTATAGATCTATTAAAAAAATCTTGAACCCCAAGAAATATACTAAACTGGTGTGGATTCTGGCATGATAAAATCAAAAGAAATTTAATATCATTGTAATGTAACACAAAATAAAATTAAGAATCTTATACAAATCGTAATTTTTTTAAGCTCGCCAAGTCAAGAAAGTAAGATAGGTATAGTAATTTTGGAAGCTTTGGGCTTACCCTATTCTGAAGCCATGGGCACGCCCCTGATGTGTGGGAGACTAAGCAATTTGCGTATTTGATGTGCGCTAAAAAATCGACATAGCTTGGAAAAGCACGAATGTAGTGAAAACTTAGCGA